GAAACAGATGAGTTGAAATTGTATGCCCACATAAAAAGCTGCACATGGATGTTTACCACAGCTTTACTCATAATTGCCAAAAATTGGAAGCAACTTAGATGTCCTTCCATAGATGAATGGATAAACAAACGGCAAGGGACTTCCCTGGTGGACCAGGGGTTAAGACTCTGTGCTCCCAACACAAAGGGTGCAAGTTTGATCCCAGGTTGGGGAAGTTTCAAGTGCTGAGGGGTGCAGTGAAGAAAAAAAAATGCAATACATCCAGACAATGGAATACTTTTCAGCAACAGAAGAAATGATTCTATCGAGTTACAAAAAGGTATGGAGGAGCCTTAATTCTAAGTGAGAGAGACCAAGCTGAAAAGACTACACACTGCATGATTCCAACTGTATGACATTATGTATAAAGGCAAAATCATACAGACAGTAAAAAAAAAAAAAAAATGGAGGAAGAAAGGAATGAATATGTGGAAACAGGGAATTTGTTTAAAGCCATAAACCATTCTGAATGATACTGTACTGGTGGATACATTATGCATTTGTCAAAAACCCACCGAAAGTAAAACACAAAAAGTGAGCCCTAATGTGACCCATGTGCTATGCTGTGCTCAGTTGCTTCAGCTGTGTCTGACTCTCTGTGACCCCACGGACTGCAGCCCACCAGGCTCCTCAGCCCCTGGGGTTTTCCAGGCAAGAATACTGGAGTGGGTTGCCATACCCTCCTCCAGGATCTTCCCAACCCAGGGATCCAATCCCCGTCTCCTGCATGTTCTGCATTGGCAGGTGGATTCTTTACCGCTGAGCCACAGGGGAAGCAATGTAACCTATAGGCCTTAGTTAATAATAATGTATCAATATTGGTTCATCAGTTGCAACATATGCATACAGTAATGCAAAATGTTAAGAACTGAGGAAATTGCAGCAAGGAAGGGTGGGTGTTTATGGAGGTATAGGGGAACTTTGTATTTTCTGCACAATTTTTCTGTAAACCTAAATCTGCTCTAACTATAAAATCTACTGTTTTTTAAAATCAATTTTATTTCTATCTATTGACAATGAATAATTAAAGTTTAAATTAGAGAAACAATACTATTGATAGTAGCATCAAAAATATGCATTATTTAGGGATAAACTTGATGGAAGACTCTAAAATCTATACACCAGAAACTTTCAAAAGTAATAAAATTTATCTCACTCCTGGGCATACCTCCAGAGAAAACTCTAATTTGAAAAGATATATGCATTACAGGGACTTCCCTGGCGGTCCAGTGTTAAGACTTCACCTCCCAAGGCAGGGGGTATGGGTCTGATCCCTAGTCAGGGAGCTAAAATCCCAAATGCCTCATGGGCAAAACACCAAAAAACATAAAACAGAAATAATGTTGTAACATGCATCCCAATCTTCACAGCAGCACTACTTAACAATGGGCAAGACACAGAAGCAACCTAAATATCCATGAAGATTTGGTTCTATATATATAGATTTCCCAGGTGGCATTAGTGGTAAAGAATCTGTCTGCAAGGTGGGAGACCTGGGTTCGATCCCTGGGTTGGGAAGACCCCCAGGAGAAGGGAAAGGCTACCCGCTCCAGTATTCTGGCCTAGAGAATTCCATGGACTGTATAGTCCATGGGGTTGCAGAGAGTCAGACACGACTGAGCAACTTTCACTTTCACTTCATATTGGCTTCCCAGGTGGAACTGGTGGTAAAAAATCCACCTGCAAGGCAGAAGACACAGGCCATGCGGGTTGGATTCCTGGATCGGGAAGATCCCCTGGAGCAGGAAGATCCCCTGGAGCAGGAAATGGCAACCCACTCCAGTATTCTTGCCTGGAGAATCCCATGGACAAAGGAGCCTGGTGGGCTACAGTCCACCGAGTTGCAAAGAGTCAGTCACGTCTGAACACACAATGTCTGAGCACACACACACACACACACACACACATATACACACACACATAATGGAATACTGCTCAGCCATAAAAATGAAAGGAACAATGCAGCAACACAGACGAACCTAGAGACTCTCACAGTAAGTGAAGTAATTCAGACAAAGACAAATATCATATGATACCACTTATATGTAGAATCTAAAATATAATACAAATTAACTTATTTACAAAACAAAACACAAAACACAAAACAAACCTGTTTCCAAAGAGGGGAAGGGGGACTAGATCAGGAGTTTGGGACGGGCAGCTATAAACTACTATCATACAGTGACGACAAGGCTGAACTGCAGAGCACAGGAAGCTATATTCAATATCATGAGATAAACCGCAATGAAAAAGCATCTGGAAAAGAATATATACTTATATATATGTACATATATGTATATATAACTGAATCATTTTGCTGTACACCAGAAACTAACACAACACTGTAAACCAATTATATTTCAGTAATGATAATAATAAAATTTAAAAGACCTAATATGAAGAGAGACACGCTTATGGATCAGAAGACATTTTGTTAAGATGTTAACTCTCCTCAAATTGACCTATAGATTCAATGCAAAACCAATCAAAATTCCAAGAGGCTTCCTTGTATATATGGAGAAGCTGATCCCCAAATTGTATGGAAGTCAAAGGATCCAGGTTTTTCAAAACAATTTGAAAAAGAACTAAAGAGGGCTTAACATTATCTGATTTCAAGATAAAGAAAACTACAATGAATAAGACCATGTGGTACTGACAAATAGATCAATGGGACAGAGGGTCCAGAAATAAATTCATACACACGAGGTCAACTGATAACAAAGGTATCAAATGACCTTTTTGGGGGCCCTTCCTCAGGCACTGTTTCTCCAGCACTATTATCCTGCTGACAAGAGTCCTGAGGACTCTTCACAAACACGACCCTGGCACTTCTAAAGCTCGGGGGTTCGTTATGCAAGTACTTTTTCATTCCCATTTCATATTTCATTTTTAAAAGTAACACATCAAAAGCACTTCCCTGGTGGCACAGTGGATAGGAATCTCTGCCAATGCAGGGGACATAGGTTCAATCCCTTGTCCAGGAAGATCCCACATGCCTTGGACCGACTAAGCCGGTGTGCCACAACTGCTGAGCCTGCGCTCTAGGGCCTCCGAGCCACAACTAGTGAGCCCTTGTGTCGCAACTGCTGAAGCCCGAGCACCTAGAGCCCGTGCTCCACAACACGAGAAGACACCACAGTGGAAGCCTGCACACTGCAACAAGAGTAGCCCCCACCTGCCGCAAATAGAGAAAGTCTGCACACAGCAACAAAGACCCAGCACAGCCAAAAATAATAAGGAAATAACTTTTAAAAAGAAACTTGAATACAGAGCGAAGTAAGCCAGAAAGATAAAGACCATTACAGTATACTAACACATATATATGGAATTTAGAAAGATGGTAACGATAACCCTATATGCAAAACAGAAAAAGAGACTCAGATGTAT